TCTTCCATTTATTCTAGATTTTTTTAAAAAGTATCCATATATTAGATCAGTCAGACTGTGCTGACAAGGGTAGTGTTTAAAGTCACTGAAATCAACAGGAGATGGAAATACTCAGCACATCTGAAAATATAGCCTGAGATTTCTCCAGTTGGGCACCCGAACAATACTTTACATTTGGAAAATTTAGTGCTCAAACAAGCCATTTCATATATTACTTGTGACTGACAATGCCAATCTACAACTGAGTGTGGACACTGGTAAACAGAGCAAGTGAATAACTATAACTTTAAAAATAAACAAAGTTAACACCTTCAGTTCTTTTACATCAATGCTTCCAGATCCATCAGTATCAAATAAATCAAAAGCTTCTCTGATCTCCTGCTTTTGTTCTTCAGTTAGTTCTGGTTTCAATCCACTTTTTTTCCTCTGGACAGCACCCAAGCCAGCTTTTCTGTAGTTAGATGCCTTCAATAAATGGACGAAAGACAAAAGTTAATAAAGACCCATTTCTAAAAAACAAACAAAAAATATCCAACAATAGCAGAAGAAAGAGAGTACATCTGTTCCTGCAACCAGTAGATGCTGTAACATTTCTGGCAGTACTCAGAATCCTTTTACAGAGACTATCAGGAACCACCCCAAAGAGAAAGTGTTGCGCTTTAGGAAGCATGAGATAAACACATTAGCTAGATGTTTTTGCCAGAATAAACAATTAAATAATTGACAGTGTTTATGCGAACTGTCATCTTTCTGTGCTAATGTTAGCATACCATGTAAATGACCGGGTGTGTGAGAATGTTTATATTTCTCGACTACCAACTCAGTTTATTTGCATATAGCACAGCACTAATTTAACTTTCAAAACATGTACAGAATCTATCTTCACAACCATAATAACTAATGATCTAAGCTTTGACTCTGAGCATGACTCAAGAGTACCTCAATACTTGTGTTCAGCACAGAAATAGGAATGCTTATTCTGGGATTATCTGGGGTTCTCTCTCATCCCTGGTTAAATTAGAGCTGCCTCTGAGCTGCTGTAACTTGTATTCTGTTTTCACTGGCACCCTGGGTCACAGAAACTAGAAAATGGCCAGAGTATAGTCCCCAGCTCTAATAGGGTATGTTTACATAGCAAAATTATTTCAGGATACCAGAAATATCCTGAAATAGCTACCCCATGTCTCTTGAACATGTTCATTAATTCAAAATATAGCAGGTGCGCTATTTTGCCATCCCTGTAAACCTCATTCCATGAGTAAGGGATGATTTGAAAAAGTGCTTTATTTCAAAATTTGGCACTGTGTAGACAAGCTATTTTGAAATAAGCTACGCAATTTGCATATCTCTTTTTCAGTTTTGGGTGCTACGTAGATTCACCCATACAGATTTAAGTCACTGGCAGTCAGATAGAGATGAAATGGGGGCTGGCCATGTAAGAGCCACTTAGGCAGGATGTATTCCCAATCCATTTCTATCTCTTTTACACTGCCAGAACAATTTAAAGGGGACACAATGTAATGAAGAACTGAATTTCTTCTTCCTCCCTTTTTTAAATTTAAAGCCTAGAATCTGAAGTACAATTCTGCAACAAAAATGGCAAATTCCACAGCATCTCTGAGCACAAGAGGCTTCAGACTGCCTTCAGTTCTGATTCCTGAGTCTTCCTTAGTTCACATAAGGATGTATTATTCAAAAGTTCAAACATTATTGGCTAGAAAAATAAATAAAAAATTATTACAAGAGAAGTTTAATTTTGCACTTAGTAGGAAAAGTTTCCTACTAAACACTAGAAACATTAAGCCCTGGCCTAATTTTTGTGTGTGTTGGAATGCCCCTAAAGTAAGTAACATTTTTTACATTCTATTTTGGGTTGAAATTTTATTTTTCATGTGACTTGTGTATGCCAGGTTGGCTTAGGAACTCCAGCAAATATCTCTCACTTTTCTTTATTAACACATCTGCTCCAGATTTTTAATATTTATAATGTTCTTAGATATATCAGTTAAAAATAGAGGGACTCAGAGGGAGCCTCTATGATTGAAAAGGAAGGCTAAGTAGCTAGACAGCAGGGGTCCAAACCTACTGTCTTTCATATAAAAAATTGTTTCAATAAATCTATTCAAGTGTACACTGTGCATTGTCCTTTCTGCATGCACAATTCAAATTTTAACACTGTACAAATTTCTGTGCACATATTTCATTTCTTGCCCACACAATTGCTGCGTATATATTGACAGCCAGCCACCAGAAAGGCTAACTAATTAGAATACATTTACCCAGTGTCCATAGCACTGTGTGTGTTCCTTGCATGTGCCCACACCAACATTCAAGCTTCAGATGTGCCACATTTGCTATTTTATCTCTATTGGACAAAACACTGTCAGCACATTAGCCTGGAAAAAAGGGATTTTTTCCCTGTTCTACTGGAATTAAATTTGAGTAGGTTTATTTTAGCATCCTGTGCTACTAGTGCTTGTTACATTAAAAAAAAAAGTGGAAAACCTGAACAAACTAGTTTTCCCATGGCCTGGGCTGTGGTTCTTCCAGGTGGCTTCTTATATCCCCTCTGGTCCCTGCTTATGTAGCTCAGAGAAATAACAGGGCTGATTCAGACAGGTGTTTACCATGGACCTCCGTCCAGGGAAGTGTGTCAGGATTAGTGGTCACATGGGGATGAGCCACTCTATCTAGGGCATGATATACAAGCAAATACAAGGCTCCTAACGTTGCTGATTCTCAGGTGTCCCTATTACTCCAAAAAGCAGCAGCAGCAGCAAATCGACTCCTTGAATTACCAACCCCAAGAGCCCAGGCTCCTTCCTGTGCGGAAGGTCAGTGATCTGTCTACACGCAGCAGAGGGGAGGGGGGGGCTGTACCCCCTTGGCAGGATCGCCACCATTACACACAACAGCGCCAGCCCGGGCTCAGAGCCACCCCCGCCCTGTCAGAGGCGGCAGCGACAGCAGCAGCGAGAAGCAGGGGCTCGTCTGCAGCCGGGCTCGCGTGCACAGCCTGCCCCCTCCCCCCAGCGCGGCTTGTCCCATCTGGACACGCGGGACGGGCTGAGCCTCGCGGCCCAGGCCCGCGCTTGGCAGCTTGTCTCCGCCAGGCCGGCGGGAGGGCTCGCGCCACGCTCCGACGGTTGGTAATGGTGGGGGTTACCGGTATTCTGGGGCGCGCGCACTCACCATCCGACCTGGGTGGGGGGGGGCGTTCGGTGGGGCTGATGCGAGCCAACTCCCCCTTCCCCCGAGCTTTTCTGGCACCTGCAGCCCCAGAACCGGGACGGAT